CCTTGATTGACTTAATGTTCTTGGCCCTGAGTACAAGCCAATTCAAAACTAACATTGAGTTCCCTGCTTTCACTTTGTTTTCATTTGCCCAGCATGTCTTTGCTTGTCTTTGAATATCCAAAGTTTTGTCACTGGATATGGCATCTAGTTAGGTTTTGCTCTGCGATGTAATCTTAGCCCTTTTTAAACAGGTGAGTTTAGTCCATTTACATTCATTGTGATTATAGGTATGTTTTATCTTAGTACTGTCATGTTTGATGCTTTCAGTTTTTTGTGGTTTTTTCCTTATCTTTTAATTTATAATTGGTGATTTTTTTGGTTTTTGCTTATGGTTTTTATGTGTTCTTTTAGTTTCTTCTGAATGCTCTGTTTCTTTATTAGTATTTACTCCCCATTATAAACAATGACAAGTACAAGTAAACTTCTCTGTCTCCATTCTGCCACCAAATTTTAGTTTAGTTTTTCTCCTACTGTTTGCTTTCAACCCTCAATTATTCTTAAACTTCTACTTGAATGTTTTAAATGATACCTTCTCCATCTCTTAGCTAAAGTTTATCATCTAGTAATTTTAAAACTTCAGTGAATCTGAGAAATCCATTTAGGCCATTATGACCAGTGTGTTAGAAGAAGTGAAATAGGAAAGAATGGGATGGGATGGAGGGAGCAGAACAATGTATCTTTTATAGTAATAGTAAATATTTCATGATACTCTTTTCAATATAGATACAGATATAGCTAGTAGATGTGTTCTGAGTCTCAATGTAAAGTGAAATGTATTTATTATCGTGAGTGACTGAAAAAAAGTTTGCAAAACAGTGCTCTACATCATCTTAAAGGAGGGTTCATTGGAGCTAGAAGAAGGATTATTGCATGTCTGAAATCTTTGTCTTCTGCCTCTGTAATTTAAATTTGCTGGTTATAAATTCTTGGATCATACTGTCTTTCACTTTAGTATGTTGTAATCTTTGCTCTGAAGTCTTCTAGTGTTGTCTATTCATATGGAGAAGTCTAAGGCAACATTAGACTTAAATTGATCTTTTTTCTCCAAGAGGTCATTAGTTTTTCCTAGGACACATGCTTGTGTGCTCTTGGACTTAAGGCTCAAGTTTTCCTTTGTCTCTGGAAGTTTGTGTAATTTTTATCTTTGACATTTTTTTTTATTTGATTGCATTGACCTCTTCACAAATATACATCATTTATATGTTGTACGTCCTTTGTCTATTTTATAAAACTATTTTTCTCTGTAATTCTTTTTAGTTCTTTATTAATTTACAGTTACTTGCATGCTTGCCCAGTCTTGTTCCCCAGGTCTCATGCTGTTTTTTCAGCAGTGGCTAATCTTTGTGCTTCCTTCTGTAGAATATTTTTTTGATATTTTCATTTTTCTCTTCTATTTTATTTTGGCCACTGTCAACTCATATTTCAGCATCTTCTGTTGTATTTGCCATGTTTTTTTTCTGTATTCTTCTATCTCTGTTATGTATAGGTTGATTGTTCTGCTACATTTCCTTTGAATGTATTTTTTTTAATATAATTTTCATCTGCTCAGTATCTGTCATGTGTTTATCTTATTCCTTTCCTTACTTTTTGTTCATATATTTTACAGATCCTATACCACTTTTTAAAAGTTATTATTCCTACTCCTCACCCATGAACAAAAGAGTTTTTCCTTGACCAGATGGCTGAAGGGTGGTTGTTTCTAGGGCATTGTTTCAGGCTAAAGAAAATTCTCCCTGCTTAATACAGAAGTACCTTATGACCCAGGGAGAGGGAGAGAGAAAGAAATTGAGAATGCCTGTTTGTTTAGCCTTTCTTCCTCCTGAGCCTACAGAGATGGACAGACAGTTACAGTGCTACATTTCAGAATCTCTCTTCTCCTAGGGCCTCACCAATGTACATTCTTCAGGTAAATATGTTTCTGTGTGATTCCTTATTGACACACCTTTGAGTTCTGTTAATTGAAGAACTGAGCTCTCCTGTGTGCCAAAGTCTGCTCCAGTTGCAACTGGATCCAAATCGGGCCAGGACAAGACAGGGAGAGGATGCCTATGGGAATCATAAGTAATAAAGAACTTCAGATGACTCCTGATTTTATCAAAGATTGGATTTATGTTTTTATTTCTCAGTATCTTTGGTGATCATTGTCATTTCTGAAAGGATAAGGAGAGAGAAAATTCATTATTATCTTAAAAGTTAAAGTCCTTTCTAACTCTCCATTACTCCTTAACCATGACAATATACATACCAATTATGGACACCAAAATTATACCTGCTTTAAAGATGGTGAATTTGAGGCCTTGAGAGTTACTGTGATTGAACGAGGGCCATACAGGTCAGTAAGAATGACAATGACAGAGTCTTGAGCCAAAATTCAACACATTGCACGGTGTCTTATGAATACAATGTAAATAAAGCCCAGTTGCTCTCCTTTGTTCATGCAAGGGAGCTTTTATTGCTCTGTTGCCTTTACTGAGATCTAATGTCATTATGGTGGCTTTGTTAATGAGCCAGGAGTTTAAAAACCGAACTTAGCTTTAACCTACATTTGAGGAGCTATAGTGATCCAAACCCAAGAGGAGGGAGAGGGACAAGGTTCCCAGCACTCTTTTGGCATTGTCTCTTTTAAGTTTCACAGCCCTCTGATCTGGTATTACTCTCTCTTTTGACACATGAAGAAACAGAGGCAGAAGAGCGTAGGTAACTTCCCAAAGCCACCAGTTAGTATGTGTTGATGCTCCAACTTCTGTAAACTTTCAACTGTACCTTTCTGCCTCCCAGGAAACCGTATTCACTCAGTGAAAGTTGTCTCAACCACAGCTTTGGGGTTCTGTAAAGATAAAATCAAAAGATCCACAAAAGGGACTGCTAGATGCTTTGTTTTCCTCTTTCAAGCCAGGTGATGCTGCTACTTTCCATGTACTAAGGGGCCACTTCTCTAAATCACACCCAACACTTAACTCGGCATGTTTTCAACCTTCAGTTTGTAGCCATTAATTAGTTGCTATGAGGCAAGTTATTGTTATTTCATCCTACAGATGAGGCAGCCAGCATGGAAGGTGGTAATTTTTCTAGGATCAGCAATGAGTCTCAGGAGAGAGCTGAGACTGGACCTCTCTATCCCAGGCTTAGCCTATGACCCTGCTAAAGATCGCTTAGTCATTTCAATTCCCTCTGGGGGATGGACATGCCTGAAGCTCTGATTTGGGCGGGCAAAGGCAATATATGTGACGTAAACATTTGCACCCCCGCAAGATGCTGAAATAAAAAAAGATTTCAATTCCCTTCATCATCTGTGCTGTTCAAAAAGATGCTTTATGTCACCTGTAGTGTTATCCATAGTATATCATAGAACATGATAACAGATGAAAAAAAGAAAGGTCAAATCAAAGATTATGTACACAGGAAGCTTGTTTTCAACAAAGTATTTCAGACCATGAAACTAAGACCATTTTGTTTAAAAAATTGCTAATAACATTTTCTTTGTAAAGAATTACATTGAGAGGGTTATGGGGAAAGAACTGGCTTGTTCTGGAAAGATTATAAAGCAGTAGAAAGTGAAGTATATGTCCATTTGATCTTTTGGCTGTTTTTAGTTTCACTAAGAAATAGCTTTTTTTGGAGTGCATAAATCTATAACCACATAAAATATGGCTAGCTTAAAAAAGTGGGGGAGGGAGATTATATGAAATTACTCCCCCCAAAAAGTCTTATTTTTGCATACTTGCATTATAATGGAAAATAGCTTCAGATTTCTTCCAAGCATTATTGGACAATTTATTTGCTCCTTAAGTGACATTTTAATATATAGTGTTTTACATGTAATGATGTTTTTGGAGTAACAAGTATGCAAGCAATGAGAGAAAAAGGAAACACACTTACTATGTAGGTAGGTGTCTCGTCTTTGTACGTGAAGCCCATTATCTCCAAATGATAACTTTGTTTGACAGTACCCACAAATATATTCGGAGCCAGGTTTTATAAAATCGATCCAGAATCATATGACTAAGAGGCCCAGCTGATGACATGTGTCAGCCTCAGATAGATGGTACATTTTCTGTTTTAAAGACTCAAACAAAACTTTTCACATTCTTCTTTGAAAAAAAAAAAATTACATTTGAAGTCCTTTTTCACCCAAACACATTTTGAGATAAGAGCTCACAAGTCTTGACATTATTTCATTTTGTTATGCGCATCTGTCAGGGAACCAAGATACGATACAGCTACTAAAAACTGATGATTGTGGAACAGAGAAACTTGACAGCATTTCATTTCCTTTATGTTCTGATTATACATTTATCAGGAAACCTGTATCTCTTCCAGTTCAGCTAGAAATTGGTAGAATTCAGGAACTCAAAGGCTTGGCAAAGAACTGTCCTATTATTTGGTATCATCTTACATTTTAGAGAAGTTGCTTGGTTGAGTCATTGTGAAAGCTTTTGCTTCTCTTTTCATTATCGTGGGCCACTATCCACAGACCACATTTCTATAGGCCCTATAACTGCTTTGCCGCACAAATTAAACGCCAGGATATTTCATATATACACGCCTGCGTTTCAATGCTTGTCAATCAGAGTTTATAAAATATAGGGATTACAACTTGATATTAACATCCCAATCTATTGTGCTCATTTTGTGTGTGAAAATGAGAAATCCTCGTGCAGACACTAGATTTCCCCAGCCTCTTTGTCGCCCTGTTTTTAATTCATCTCCAGGTTTTGAATCAGTAAAATGATTTTGCTTATCAATTTAATGTAGTGATAAAACATATCCGTACATCAGAGTGATCAAAACTAAAGTGGCTCTACAGGTTGTTTGGCATTCAGCACAGCGCGGCTAAGGGTTTTAGGGGGGCTAATTCCTCCATAGAATATATACATCCCCATTTTTTAATTGTGCTTCACGTGAAGAAGTGGACATAAAACTGCACACTGTTATAGGAAGGAAGACTTTAATACTTTTAAACATGTTCTTTTTATGCTTGCCTATTTTTTTTTGAACAGGTATACTTCAGAAGGAATTATCCAGATATCGCCCAGACCAACCATGTGGTAATGAACACTTCCAATGGACAGCCCTCAGCCTTCACTATTTTTGAGACGGCACTGTGATTCTACCAAGATCACGCCTGTTCCGGAGGCATTTTCTAATAGTTTTTGCACTACGTAAACTGCATTGTAATTTTTATACTCGATCAACAAATATTTGTACATATATGATGTTAGTTCATTTGGATTTTCCCGCTGACTTCATCCAATGACATCAAGCTCTAACAAAATGGTTTATTTTTATTTATATGTTGTTGGTTTTTTTAAAATCTAAATCAGAGGTGCAGGCCACCAACAAAAGGTGTCTACCGGGTTTTGTGCCTTAAGAAACTCCAGAGCCAAAGCTCCTTTTTAAGGAATAGGACAAAATTGGCACAGGTTTGGGTTTGTGTGTGTGTGTGTTACTACCCTCAAAATTACATGTTAATTTCCAGTGGTATCAGGGATTCTATTTACTTGAAGACTGTGTGAAGTTGCCATTTTGTCTCACCATTTTCTTTTTCATAAGTGGGATCCATTATTTCCCCCAAAGGCCTCTAGTTATTATAAAATAGTACAGATAAAATCAACAGGCAAAACAAAAAATATACTTTAGTTAAGTGACATCATAGTAGGGCGAATCTCCCCCCCCCCACACACATTCGTACCAAAAATATATATGGTTAAAGTGTAGAAGAACAATATTTTATCATATGTTCTAAAAAAGAAAGAAGGAATTATAATACTGTCTCAAAGTGGGAGGTAATTTGATACTGAAGGACACAAGTGTGACCATCCCTCATTTTTTAGATTTTTGAGATTCTGACATGGTAACTGTGTTGCAGTTTTGGACTCAGCGTGGTGATACTTTCCACAAATGCCAAACCTCTAACTGTAATTCCTGAAATATGTGGAATTATTCTTACTGGAGTTCTGGGCTACGGAAGGTTAACCCTCTATAAACTGTAAGCCTTCGGTTTGGCCTTTATTGACATCCTTGCTAAATTTTATGGGCTTTCCTAACTTGGTGAGACAAACTGAGAAAAGCATTGACCGTAATTTTACAGTATGTTCTCGGGATGCATCCAGAAGGTTCATTTTCATGAGCCTGTCCAGGTTAGTTTACTCAGGACCACTAATAGCAGTTTCTTCAGAGTTTCTGATTAGTGAATCAACAAACCACAAAACTTCCTGGGACCTGGTGTACTTTTTTGAACTATGAGTCTTCACTTTTTCTTGATGGTGGTGGCTGTGGTATATTAAGTTCGCTTTACTAAAGGTTTTATTTACTGTCATGGTTTAAGGTGGATTCGAATGACCTCTCAGAATAAGGTGTAACCACCCTCAAATCGCATATACATGCACACGTGGACACATATATGTGCCATGATGTGTGGTAGGCTTTTGAGAAGCAGATGTTTTATAGAACGAACCCTTAAAAAGCACATACAAGCTAACTACCAAAACACATTGAGTGTAGTAGCTGTTCAACTCTTTGTATTTAGAAATATGGTTACCGTTCAGTTGAATAAACCACACACAATAAGATGTTTGTTAATAAGTCATGGTTAGTATTTTAGGCAACTGAAATGACAACAGTGATAAATATGAGGTTTGTTCATACATTAGATATATTTGAAATGTTGTGTATGTTTATTTGATCTTTAGAGGATAAAAGCTGTCATATAAACATGTTTCTATTTCATTTGTTTTAACATTTATAGAGTTTTTTAATGAAGCAAAATTCAGTTGAAATAAATGACAATTTTTTATCTCCATTCAGAGATCTGTACTTTTCTTCTTAGAGGCTCATCCTGAGTGACGAAAGCCAATGAGTTCTCCTGAGATAAAAAAAATTAGGAGCTCATAACTTTCATTATTAACTGGTTGTCTTGGTTAATTGGGTGTACCAAATATTCTAAGCAGATTTCAGTGTGTTTCAGTCAGATTGAAGCAGTTGCTGTTTAAGCAAGTCCAGGAAGGGGGAGGGTATTAGCTTATGCCTCAGGCTTGAACAGTATTAAATGGTTGTGGTTTTTGGTTGTGTCTTTGTTTTTTAAGATGTCTTTGTCCAAAACTAATAAGAAACATCTATTGCTGCTACACTTAAAACACTATAGAATATTGGTTCTCAAAGTGTGGTCCCTGGACCAGCAGCATAGCATAAACTGGGAACTTGTTAGACATCAGATTCTTGTGCCTCACCCCAGATCTACTGAGTCAGAAACTCTAATGGTGGGGACCAGTAATCTGTGTTGTAAAAACCCTTGAGGGTGATTCTCATGTAGGCTAAAGTCTGAGAACCAACACCATAGAATGTAAAGAACTCCTAAAACTCATTAAGAAACACAGAAAGCCCAGTTAAGATAAATGGACAAGAGACTTGAATAGGTACTTTAGTAAAGAATGTCCAATGGCCAATAATTTGAAAAGGTGTTCACTGATGTTAGTTACTGGAAAAATGCAAATTAAAGCCACAATGAGATGCCACTAACCCACTAGAAATAACAAAAGTTTAAAGATTGAGAATATCAATCATGTGCCAATTAAACAATAGGAATTTTACTGCAGTGTGTCTATTTAAAAAAAGTATATTGAAAAACCTACTTTGGAAAACAATTTGACAGCATTTTTTCAAACTGTAGATAGACCCTGTGATCCATTAATGCTACTCCAAGTGTGTCCACGGCACCAAGAGATGTTTCCAAGGATGTTCCTAGAAACATAATTCCCAATATCCCAAACTGGAAATAATCCGATGCACATCAACAGCAGAAAGAAAGCAAACTATGTGGTAGTGGAATAACAGCAAGGAAAGCAATTAAACCACGTGAGCGATACACATGAAGCTCAAAAACGTAATATTGTTCCAAAGAAGCCTGACCCAAAAGAATACTTATGATTCTATTTATACAAAATTCAAAAATAGTTACCACTAGACTCTAGGGTGCAAAATCAGCACCATGTACAGCCTTGGGGAAGTGGAAACGGTTAGTAACTGGGAGAAATATGAGAAATACAAGGGTTCTGCTTTAAATTTGTATTGTTGTTTGGTAGGGTGGTAGTTCCATCAGTATCCATTGGGCACTTTTATGTGTCATCCTTCACAACTGAGTTAACTAAAAAAAAAGTTCTTGGCCTTGTTTTTCTTTTAGAATCTCAAATTCCGTGCCTTAATCTTCTAAAAGTGAATAATCTGCACATAGGAAGTTGTTTCTGCTGAGTTCTTAAAATATGAGGCTGTTCAAGGATCATCTTGTGGCCTATCACAGAGAAAGCACTGGAAGCTTTCGTTACATAAGGGGCCAAGGTCTGTGTTTTCTCTAACCATTTAATAAAATAAATCTCACTTTCTCTTTAGTTCTAGGATAAGTACAAAAAATAAGGCACTATGAGGTTTTTCTGGATTCTGTTTTTTAAACCACTTTAATGAGGCATAAATAACATACAAAAAGTTGTACATATTTCATGTGTATATCTTGACGAGTTTGGAGATAAGTGTACACCCATGAAACTATCACCACAATCAATGCCATCAGCCTATCCATTGCCCCCAGAAGTTTTCACCTGCTCTTGTTTTATTTTTTAATCTCCATTATACCTGTGATCTGAAGAATAGAAGAAGGTCCATGTAGGGGAAATATCCTCATTATCCTTATTCTGTAAAATCAGCACAGTTTCATTTCTTCTAGGAAGTGATCATAAGACCAGTCTTAAGATTGGGTCGCTGCTGTGTATTTCTGTGATGCCCTGAGCACCCCTAATGTGTACACTGAGTCATAGGACCTGCAGTGTACTGTTTAATGCCCTGTTTTCACCATTGTGAGATTCTGAATTTTTAAACAAAGGACCCTGCTTTTTCATTTTGCGCTGAGTCCTGTAAATTATGTAGCCTGTCCTGATTATAAGTGTGTGCGGGTCTCTTTCTTCGCTAAACCATGAGCTTCCGAGGACTTGGACCGTGCCCTGTTCATATTTTCATCTACGCCTTCTAGCACAGTGTCAAATTGTGGATGCTCAATGAATGTTTGCTGAGTGAATGAATAAGCACTGAGAATAAACCTTCCTTCTAAGCTTTTTAATACTGAAATATTAAGAGGCAGCCTGGGGTAACAGGAAGAGCCCTGGTTTGGAGGTCAGTCACCCAGATCTGGCTACCAGTTCTGTGTCTGCCACTCACTAGCAATGTAGGATGGGCGAAGAATTTACTATCCAAAGAGGGACCCTTGAGAGTGAAAGGAAAGCACTAACTAGCCAAGGTGGCCTGGCAATAAACTGGGACTGTCCTTGACACATTGGGGTATGGCCACCCTATAGCCATGAAACCCTGGTTACATGCTTGGGCAGGATTCTATTTCTGTGGGCCTTGGCCTCTTCATCTGTAGAATGGATATAGTTCCTGACCTTGCACAGTTGCTTTGGTTGGGATAGTTGATGGACCAAGAGCATCTATGGAAAAAAGGATGGAATCCAGAAGGGAAAACATTGACCTTGGACAGGAAAAATGTAGCCACTTCCACCAAGAGAGGAGAACAAGACAGGTGTAGATGAAGGCAGGTTTGTAAAATATAGATGGTATATTTGAGAAGGTTTTCACCTGATCCCCTAAACCGAACTATTGTTACTTTATAGTTCCAGTGAACAAGCATATACACAAGGAGAACCACAAGCTCTGGGTTCAAATCCTGGCTCCTCCGTGCAGTGGCTGCCTGGATTTGAATCCAGGTTCCACAACCTGCTAATTGTTGGCCCTTGACGTTGGGAAGCACACTATGCTTCAGTTTCTTTCTTTTTGTAAAATTAAGATTGAGAGATGAAACAGGAATCACATACTTTATAGCAGTGACACTCAAAGCAAGGTCTGTCAGTCCATGAGCTGTCTGTAACCAGTCCACAATAAGGACAGGAATCTCAGTAAAGCATATGGAAACTTCTGTGTCATTTTGACATTGCCACAACATCCAAATTCATGATTGGTGGCCTCCTTTTGAGCAGGCAAGAGACCAGTTTGTTGAACTGGGATGGTGAGACATGTGGGGCACATGCTGCATGCTAGCCATCCACAGAACCACTTGCTAGTTTGCAATGGACTGAAGATTGAAAATAATTAAATAAAACCAATTCCTAACCCCACAGAGTTGAGAAGCACTGCATTGGAACAATGCCAGGTATATGGTTAGATCTCCATAAACACTAGCCTCCTTATTAATCAGGGAAAAGTCATCCCATGATCTTTACATTTAAAATTAGGCCACAAAGGCTTTCAAAATGTACATTAGTAATATTTTTAAATAGCATTAAAAGCTAAAATTCTGCTCAAGGTTAGAGATTTTTTTTTAAAGCCTAAAAATATTTTAAAAGCAAAATGATACTGTGCATATGTTTACACCAACTATATTCTTAAATTGACAGCATGATAATGATGTTCAAGACAGTAGCTAAGAACACATCAGGCCACTTGTAAAAGTGGAGAATATATAGGTTTATGCACAGGCTGTTGATTCTCCTTTAAAAACAGAAAGAATGTGGATTAACTGAGCTTTCGCTTTTTAAATTTAATCTTCTAAGGAAAATAGCCCCATAGTTCAAAAACTAAAACAGCAGTGTATGTTGAAAACATATTTATTTAAATTTAGAACTAAAAAATAATAAAAGGATTAACATGTCCTGGCTCTGTGAGATCTCCATTTATACCCCAGGCTCATCTAACTTGCCATAGGGGTCAACATTAGCCTTACACAATTTTTCAAGAAGAACCAAGACCAAGACTTAGATACACTAAGAATATTTTACAGAAAGCTTACATTGTGGTAAGTTCTGGCTAAATTCATGTCTTTCACTCAGCAACTGTGCTCATAAAACTAACCAATTCGCAATTACCCATCACAATAGATGGAAGTCTTAGGTATTGCGAAACAGTGTTTGATGCAAAAGTTAATCATATTTGATTTTGAGGGTATTATGTGAAAAACCTTTCTAAAATTAAATTTTGTAGACTCCTTAGACAAAAATTAAAGTGAGTCTTTATGAGACAGTT